AGAAAGATCTTCACAGAATATGTAGGAGCCAATATGAGCATCCAGGTTCCGCTATTGGTTATTGGCCAGAGATGTGTCTCGTTCATGTCTACATAGTTCTCGAACCCGTAGGGTCCGCACGCTTAACGTTCGATGACGATTTGTATTATGAGTTATGTGATTTGATGACCGAAGTTTGTTTGGAGTCCCGGATGAGATCACGGAAATGAGTAGGAGTCTCGAAATGGTTGAGAGGTAAAGATTCATATATTGGAAGGCTATATTCGGACATCAGGAAGGTTTCGAGTGATTCGGGTATTTTTTGGAGTACCGGGGAGTTATGGGAATTCACCGGGAGAAGTAATGGGCCTTATTGGGCCATACGGGAAATAGAAGAGGCAGGCCAAGGGGAGGTGGCACCCTCCCCCATGGGTCCAAATTGGACTAGGGGAAGGGGGCGGCGCCCCCTTGCCCTTTCCTACTCCCTCTCTCTTTCCCTCTTTCATTCACTCCTACTCCTAAAAGGGAAGGGATTCCTACTAGGACTTGGAAGTCCTAGTAGGACTCCATACTTTTGGCGCGCCCCTAGGGGGCCGGCCTCTCTCCCTCCCTTCTCTATATACGTGGGCAGGGGGCACCCCAAAGACACACAAGTTTCTCTTAACCATGGGTGGTGCCCCCCTCCACAGTTACACACCTCGATCATACCATCGTAGTGCTTAGGCGAAGCCCTGCGCCGGTAACATTATCATCACCGTCGCCATGCCGTCGTGCTGACGGAACTCACCCTCGGCCTCAACTGGATCAAGAGTACGAGGGACGTCATCAAGCTGAATGTGTGCTGAACGCGGAGGTGCCGTACATTCGGTACTTGGATTGGTTGGATCGCGAAGACGCACGACTACATCAACCGCGTTACTAAACGCTTCCGCTTTCGGTCTACGAGGGTACATGGACACACTCTCCCCGTTGCTATGCATCTCCTAGATAGATCTTGCGTGATCATAGGTTTTTTTTTTGAAATTACCGCGTTCTCCAACATCAAGCCACAACAGATCCCACTTAGTCGGCCTGTCGACCCGAAGAACAAGGGCACCGTGACCATAGCACCTTCATCGGGCCATCGTCAGCTGCCCGAACACCACAGCTCCGAGGCCGCTGCCCTGGGATCAAGCTATGCCTCACGCATGGCCAACGTCTAGGGCCACAACCGCGCTCCAGGCGGAGATCTCCCACGAGGATGACGAGACGAGGGCCAATCGGTCACCGTCCGCCAGGCAGGGCTTTTGCTTGCCGGCCTCCTCCGACGGCGATGGCTAATTGAAGGGGAGGAGGAGTGGGGGCGGCGGTGGCTAGGGTTCGCCCGAGCCACCCCGCTAGGAGTGGCGCGGATGCCGTACCCCTGTGAGGTGGACGTGGGACGCTGATCCCATGTTATGTTGGACTAGTAGAAAAAACATCTTGTTTTTTTTGCGGAGTGTATGATAGCAAGATGATATCCCAAAATTTCCTACAACCATATGTTGGATGACCTAATAAGATGGTCACCTCCATAACCCGCTGCATGCATAGCCAAGAAGTATGCACTCTGAGCAGAAAATTTAGGAACGGCTTGCCGGCCGAACCGTTCCGCCGGTCCCGCGCGGGCCACTCGATCGAAGCGAGGCGAAGCGCATCGTACGCCTCACGCTCCTCCCGATCCCCTTCTTCCTCCTTCAGATCCTGCCGCCGGCTAGCCCTAACCCCACGCAGGTCACCTCCATCCTTCATATCCCCTTCTTTCCTGCTGTCCACCCTCCCCCCCGGCTGCAGGTTCCTTCGTGCCCGGCGAGCCGGAGTTGGAAGCCGCCATGGATATACCATGCGCAAGCTGCTGTTCGTACTCCCCTGTGCTGGAACTGTCCACCGGAGATGCTTCAACCACGGCAGCGCGAGTGCGCGACCTCCTCCCCAACCATCTGCTTCCAGACGAACTTTGGAAGCATTTTTTCTCCTCCACCAATGTTGCAACCGACGACCAAAAAAGTTACAACCGTTCAATTTGAGAGCTTCAACTAGCGGTATATCAAGCTTCAACCAGACACCATGCCATGCACTGAAAAAAGCTACAACCGTTCATACGAAAAGCTTCAACCATAGTTTGAAAAGCTGCAAACGACGGAATAGAGAAGTTTCATCGGACCACTATGAAATAAAAAATCCACACCCGTAATTTTTTGAGAAAGCTTCAACCGTTGAATTGAAAAGCTTCAACTGGTTTTATAAAAAGCTTCAACTGGCTTTATAGGACGCTTCAACACGTGAGTACACAACAAAAAAGTTGCAATCGTTGACGTGAAAAGCTACAACCATATTTTTGAAAAGCTTCAACCCGGTGACAAAAAGCTGGACTGGCACCTCACCATTGATGCAATGGCTTCACGGCGGAGCTGCAGCGACGACAAACTCGAGGGACCGGCGATGAACTACTGGCGGCTTCTGGCGGAGATGCGGCCATCGGCGGTGAGCGGCGTTGCTACAAGCTGGACGGGGCGGCACTCCTTCGTCGGAGCTGCGACCTTTGCTGGCAGGAGCTGCATGCGGCAGAGCTGGCGAGAGCCACGGCGGACCGGGGGCAGGCCACGCGGGCGACGGTGACGCTGGAGAGGAGCCGACGGCTGGGAGGACGCCCAGGACCGAGGGCGGCGCTCGCGCTGCCGTGGAAGGAAAGAAGGGGATAGGAGGAAGACAACGGCCCCAGATCAGACGACAGCGCTCGCTGCATCGTGCGGCTAGGGCTCGCGCATCAGACGGTTGGTGCTGGACCGGCCCAACAGTTGGGCCGGCGCACCGGCACAGATCAGCGCCAAAAAAAAGCTAGACTTTTCACCATACCAAACCACAAAATCTTCGTTATAAATTATAGGAAGGCGCATCCACGTCATGAGGACGGAATGTGTGCTGAATAAGATCTTTCATTCACTCAGAGCGGATTATGGACCAAAAGGCCAAAACCCTAGTTCAGGCGAGTCCTAAGGTGCTTTGCCAAAAATTTTGAGGCCATATTCCCAAGGGATCCACGTGGAATAATCCTACACATACAAATGGTTTACGCATGTTTTACGTAATCTTCCAACTAATAATCCCCCCCCCCCTGAATTTCACCAGGGTGGGCTCCTCTCTCCCCCTATGTCCAATCATAACCCCACACGTTGACCTGTCCGTTAAACATGTAACCAATCTCCTGGAGGTCTAGCATTGCGCATCCACATGTCTCCAAGTATTAATCCCCCAACCTAAGTGAAACTCCGCAAATTACTATAACTTTTGCAATGTTATAATAATGAGTAAATAGTTAGTATTTGTAAAAATAAAATATCTACTATATCACTAAGCTCGATAGGGAGCGAAGGCCTCTCCCAATTGAGGACATTGGTTTTGGATTGGATTCTTAATTTTGACTTGATGAACAATTTTTCAAGGAGCTCTCCATCCAAGTGAGGTGTTCAATTTTAAATCTCGTTCATGATTTTGACTATGATTTCTCAAATCAATCAGCAGCAGCCAACTTATAAAAATATATCAGTCTCGCGCATGCTCTCATAACCTGACAGAAAGAATGCCAACATGTAGTACTATAGAACCAATATGATTTTGGATTCACTTTACAATCTTTGACTTTGTCAATCTCAAGGAACTCTCGCATTCAAGTGAGGTGTTTAATTTTGACTTTGATTCATGATTTTGACTGGTCAGTGATTTCTCGAATCCATCCGCAACAACCAGGTTATAAAAATACGTCAGTCCCGCACCCTCTCATCGCCTGACAAAACATAAATGCAAACATGCGACACATTAACACCAATACAATACGTGGCCACGACTGCAAGAAACTTACCTGCATACGTGCGGGTTAATTTGGAAATTTTAGATACATTATAATTGAGCATCTTTCCTGCCCTCTCAGGCTATTAGCGTTCCCAACCATCGGATCTGGACTCGTGGTCATTTTTAGCGTTGGATCTTCACTTAACCCCGCCTGGGCTTTCGTTACGCGAATACAGTGCTACACAAGCTGGGCCTCTACTCCCGTGACAAAATCCCCGATCTGCTGTTAGATGGGCCTCGAATCTTTCCTGTGTGATCAATTCATCCACGCGATCTCTCTGCATCCCCGTTCCCCTTCCTTCCACTCGTGCCCTAGGCCTAATCGCCGTACTGACGATGACGGCGAGTGATGCTTTGGGTTGCTGCCACCACCCCTACTGCTCCCGGTCCCTCTGGTAGATATCACAGCAACCGCTTTTGATCATCTTATTTTTTGACCCGTATTCCTTAATCCTATTAGCAGTGCCACTCCATATCTCGGCCGCCGCAAAAGATTGCTAGGTTTGGAGATGGTTTTTCAGGTGCTAATGTCTTTTCGATCTCAATTTTGTACAGGTTGTGTTCGTCAAGGTTCCAGTCAACTGATTCAGGCAAATGTTGGGCGTTGGTACTCATCGAGCCGCCGATCTTCAATCCGATCCATTCAAGTCAAGCTTGACTGATCGATGCAGGGCGAACCAAGGCGGGCCTGACTGATTGATGCAGGGCGAAGCAAGGCCGGGCTCAATTTTTGTTGGTTCTATCGATGGCGGTAACGGCGTCGCTCGACTCTTACTTGGCGTTGACACTTGACATGCGGTGGATTTTCACGTCCCTATGCGCCTTCCTCTAATCACTAGATAACAATACAAAGGGTATTCCAAATTTCCATCTCTGCTCCTCTGCCACGCTTTGTTCCCCCTTTCTCAGTGTTTGTAATTTGCAACTTAATTTCTTGTTTATACAGTTTAACATGGATTGATTGGTCGAGGAGAGTATGTCAACAAGATATGATGCTAGAAACATGGAGTTCCCCAGGGAGTCAGCTCGATGTACTACAGTAACCTCGGCTGATCTTATCTTCGCAACCTCTGAATGGCTTTACGATTTGCAAATAAGGATCCCTGATTATATTGCTATTGATACACGGTTGTACCTTCCGAAACCTGTGCTGGATGCTTCGGGTGTTGTCTTCCTCAATGAGAAATCGTTCCATGCACCCGGCAACAGTGAGAACAGACTTCAGAACTTATGTTAGAACAGTCTTAACTGGAACAGAATTAACTAAACTCTTGGTCCGATATGTAATTTGTGATAAAATCTTACCTTCCTTTTGTTTTCTAACAAATGTCTTGGCTCTGTTTTGTTTGGAGCCACCCGGTAGTTCTATGCTGCTGCACAAATACATTGTGCTTTTTAGGACTGAATTTTTTTCATTGTACCAAATCTTCTGGATGATGTTCTATTTGCTCATTTTTTAAACTCATGGAATGAAAACATTTTATTCTCAAATCTAATTTTAAAACTGGATATGTTTTTTCATTACCAGCAAATATTCTGCTCTCTCATGTCCAACCAAAATATATATCTTTAGTAAGTATTTAACTTTCACCTTGCATACCTTCATGCATTTTATAAATTTGTACTGTTCCATATACTCGTATAAATTCCTGTATTAAGGTGGTCTTTAATGCGATCGATTATCTAACTTTTCTCCTGCTCTGTTTACAAGTATGCAGGTCTCATATCTCAAGTATGGTCGAAGCATTGCTGTTAGGATTATCTAACTTTTCTCCTGCTTTGTTTACAAGTATGCAGGGCTCATATCTCAAGTATGGTCGAAGCATTGCTGTTAGGATTATCTAACTTTTCTCATGCTCTGTTTACAAGTATGCAGGGCTCATATCTCAAGTATGGTCGAAGCATTGCTGTTAGGCAAGGTGGTTAATTGTGTCCAGATTATTGATGGGTGGTTTTCATCCTTAACTGTAGCTTCACCAAAGTTGGATTGTTGCATGCTTGCAGATACGCGTAGTTTCAGTTTGGCTTGTGATATTGATATTTTATAAAAAGTAATTCCATACTTGATGTAGAAAGATCATTGGAAATGAGCACGTTCCATGTAATCTGGGTGGCACTCACCCATATATTCTATGTAAAGAACACTCCGTTTGCACAACACTGGAACATTGGTAACATATTTTGACTCCGGTATTTCCTCTCTGGTCTGATGTACGTCATCTCAGTCTATGGAAAATAAAAATTTACCCAAATTATTGTAAAACCGATTAATTAAAATTTCCATTTGACTTCCATCTTTACCCATTGGCTTATTTTAGTGATGTTGAATATGGTTACTGCTTCCATTTTTTCTCCCATGAACAGATGAAGCTTCGATAATTTGTGAACCTGCATGCTGCTATGGTGTTCCACCAAATTGGAAATATGTTCCTACATTTCCATGGAAGTGTTTCGTGTATTTCGCATGCTTTGATTTACAATTAGCTTGGGAATTACATCAATCAGGGTGTGTTACTAAATATTTGGTTCAGTTTTCAATATATCACTATCCAACTCCAAGAATGACTTCATTTACTGTTTTTCCTTTCCTTTTTATTGTTTTAGGAGCACGGCCATTGAACTATATAGAGAGTATGCATTTAATAGGTATATCTAAGCTTCTTTGTTCATTTCAAAATAAGTACTGGAGTTGCTTTAATGTGTATGGGTTCCAGACTTATATATTGACTAGATGTGTGTATGGGGGGTAGGTAAATTTGATGCAGTTATGCACTAACCAAGGAAACACCACAGCTCCAGCCCTCTTATCATCGTAGACATCACAAAGCAACCACCCTGTCATTATTTTGAACATTGATATTCCTTCTAATGATTTTTTTTGGGAATGTTCTTCCCTTTCTGCAGTTAATGTTGGTAGTTTTCCATAGATTGAAGAGATGCCAATTCATTTAATTTATGTGCTTATACTATTTTGCCAATTGTTCTTTCTATTTTGCGTAGCATCTCTGAAACTTCAAACTTCACTATGTGGACTGATCAAGTTGGAATCTGGTCTTACTTCGTGTGTTATATAGTCTTGTGCTATACGGATGAAGTGCATTTTCATTAGATGATTTCATTTCCATTACTCATGTTGATTCGTTTTAGCATGGCCGTGTTCATACATTATATCTCAATACTGTCTTCAAATTCGAGTGGAAATGATTTTTTCAAACTTCATCCTCCAAACTCTAATCTGAATGTTGTAACAAAAGAAACAAGACTTCCCTTTACCCTTTTAATAACAAATTAGGTATCAACTTGTATGCGACCTACCTTTGAGCAAATAAGATATATGTGGTCGGTTTTGATAGAATTTTTGCTGATGCATGATTGAGGTGGTGATTATGGCTGTAGTGTGGAATGACAGAGGGCTACTTGGAGGTGGTTGCTGTAGCACGCTGTGCTATTATGACCTGGAACTATAGAATTGATGTCAAGTTTATATTTGATGTTTTTTGTTTCACTAAAGCTTGTACCAAACAATGATACTATGTTCCATAGATGGTTTTCTTCATATTTATGATTTTCCAAGATCTAATCTTCTCCAGCGAATATAACCGACCATTACGCCCATCATTTTTATGCATCACAACTTAGATTGAGCAATGGCAGTACATTACATACACAACTTCTCTACTCTTCATTGTCTTACTACAAATTTTATCATGTATCTTTAGGTTTCTTTGAAAATGACTTCTATCATATCACGTGTATCTTTATGTTTCTTCGAAAATTACTTCCTATCATATCTCTTAGTATACTTATAAAAGTACCTACCATTCTATTCTAAAAATAGACGGGCGCGGCAACGTGTGCCTTCGATGATCTAGTAACATATAATTACAACATCTAGAGTCCCACGCCTCAAACACTCTCTCATACGCCCGCAGATGTGCGCACTCAGTGACCAGACATGAGAGAAGGGAAAAAACTGACCCAACCAGACCTCTCATACCATCCCTATACGTTCGAACTGTCCGCGAACCCTCATATCCATCTCAAATGTAGGGAGGACACTAGTAGAAAAGGGGGCAAAGGTCCAGGCCGGGTCAGCCCATTAGTCCCGGTTCAGTCCAGAACCGGGACCCATGGGGGCATTGGACCCGATTCGTGAGCCCCCGGGGCCGGCCGGGCCACGTGGGTCATTTGTCCCGGTTCGTCTGGACCTTTTGGTCCCGGTTGGTGGGACGAACCGGGAGCAATGGGCCTCGCTCCTGGCTCACCACCATTGGTCCCGGTTGGTGGCTTGAATCGGGACCAATGCATTAAAAAATAAATAAGTAATTAGAATTTTGTTCAAAACATTAAAAGCAAAAAGAATTATCATAAAAGAAAATAAATAAGTAATTAGAATTTTGTTACAAACTTTAATAGCAAAAAGAATTATCATAAAAGAAAATAAATAAGTAATTAGAATTTTCTTCAAAACATTAAAAGCAAAAAGAATTATCATAAAAGAAAATAAATAAGTAATTAGAATTTTGTTACAAAGTTTAATAGGAAAAAGAATTATCATAAAAGAAAATAAATAAGTAATTAGAATTTTGTTCAAAACATTAAAAGCAAAAAGAATTATCATAAAAAAAATAAATAAGTAATTAGAATTTTGTTCAAAATATTAATAGCAAAAAGAATTATCATAAAACAAAATAAATAAGTAATTAGAATTTTGTTACGAACTTTAATAGCAAAAAGAATTATCGTAAAAGAAAATAAATAAGTAATTAGAATTTTGTTCAAAACATTAAAAGCAAAAAGAATTATCATGAAAGAAAATAAATAAGTAATTAGAATTTTGTTACAAACTTTAATAGCAAAAAGAATTATCATAAAAGAAAATAAATAAGTAATTAGAAACAAAAAAGAAAGCAAAAAAAGTGGGAAAAAATAAAAAAAGTGCCACCTACAGGGCCACCACGGCCTGCATACGACCAGAAACCCATTACTAGGGCCAGGATGCAGGCCCGCAGTAGGCCCAATAGGCCCACAAGCACAAATAGTGATTTTAGGCCCGTAAGCCTGTAGTAGAGAGGAGCTCGAAGTGGTTGGTTCGGCAGGGCTTATAAACCACTTCGAGCCCCTCTCGGCTAGCGAGGTGGGGCTAAACATAGCACCGCACCGCGCCCGTTCCAGCACACGACCTTTGGTCCCGGTTACCAATGCCCCTCTTTTGTCCTGGTTTGTGTCACCAACCGGGACCAATGGTCTCTGTTTCCCGCCCTTTGGGCTGCTGAAAAGAGGCCTTTGGTCCCGCTTGGTTCCACCAACCGGGACTAAAGGGGTGCATTGGTCCCGGTTGGTGCCATCAACCGGGACCAATGCTCTGCTGATATAAGCGGCACTCGCAAAAATTGGGTTCAGTTCCTTCTTCCCCGCCGCCCGATGCCGCCAGGCTGCCCGTCGTCGCCCCGCGCCGTCCCGCGCCGCCCCGACGCCGTCCCGCG